CTAAAGACCTAGAGAGGAACATCATGCTTGGTAAAGTGGAAGATCGTTGAAAAAGAGGAAGACCCCAGCAAGATGGATTGACACAGTGGCAGCTACAATAGGCTCAAACATAATCATCGGGAGGATGACACAGGACCAGGCAGTGTTTTATTCTCTTGTGCATGGGTTTGCTATGAGTTAGAACTTCTGCATGGCATGTAACAGTGACAACAAGAAATATTTATTAAATGCTGAAGAAGACAATGATGGAGTGTTACAGGAGCAAAAAAGTCATGACTTTTTGAAAATAATAGGAAAAGGGCAGACATTAAGTAATTCATTAATCATGAATAGAATTAACAAGCTAATGAAGAGAAAGAAATTGGTGGAATGGAATAAAACACATGATTCAACTGTATACTATCTACAAAAGAAATATTTAGGCACAAGTATGTTGGAGGAAAAAGGATGGAACAAAATATAATGAGACATTAAGTGACTATATTGATATAAGACAAAATAGATTTTAAGATATTGTTAATACAGACATAATTTATAAAGATAAATGAGTCAATCCATCTGGAATGTGTAACAATTATAAACATATATGCACATAGCCACATAGCTCTAAAATACATAAAGCAACAGGAGATATTGAAGGGAGAAATAGACAATTTAGCAATACTAGTTGGAGAATTCAATACCCTACTTTCAATTATGGATAGAATAACTAAACAAAAGATCAACAAAGAAGAGTTGTTGTTCAGTGCCCTCAAGTCAGTTGTGACTAATAGCGACCCTGTATAGGGTTTTCATGGAGCGGCTGGTGGGCTTGAACTGTCGACTTTGTGGGTATATGACTTGAAAAACATTGTAAGTTGATTAGACCAGAAAAACACATAGGAGAAACATAAGAGGAGAAGACACTTCCAATTTGCTTTTGAGGCCAGTATGACCAAAAACATTACAAGAAAAGAAAACTACTGACCAATAATCCTTCTAAATATAGACATAAAAATCCTCAGTGGAATACCTGCAAACCAAATCTAGCAACATATGAAAAAGATTGTATGTCATGAGCAGTTGGAATGTATGCAAGATAGATGACATGACATATGGAAAGCAATGAATGTACTATATCATATCAATAGAATTAAGAACAAAAAATCACATGATTTTTTTCAACAGATGCTGAAACAGCATCATTTGTCAAAACCCTTTCATGATTAAGAACAAAAAAACAAATAAAAATACACAACAAACTAGGATTTCCAGCGATATTCTCTGCCCTGATAAAGGGCTTCTACAAAACACTCTTCCACCAGTCTGTATGCTGAGCAGTTAATCCAAGAAGCTGGTTTACATGAAGAAGAATACAGCATCAGGATTGGAGGAAGACTCATATATTAACAACCTGCGATATGGAGATGACACAGTCTTACTTGCTGGAAGTGAAGAGGACTTGAAGCACTTACTGATGAAGATCAAAAAATACAGCTTTCAGTATGGATAACTAAAACACAATAAAAATCATCACAGCTGTGCCAATAAACAACATCATGATAAATGGAGAAAAAGATTGACCTTGTCAAGGATTTCATTTTACATGGTTCCACAATCAGTGCTCATGAAAACAACAGTCAAGAAATGAAACCAAGTGTTGCACTGGGAGTTAGAGCAAAGATGCCAGTTTGAACACTAAGGTGCACCTGACCCCAAGCTGTGGTATTTTCAATTGCCTCATATGCATGTGAAAGCTGGACAGTGAGTTAGAAAGACCAGTGAAGAATTGATTCATTTGCATTATGGTGATGGGGAAAAATATTAAAAATACCATGGACTACCAGAAGGAAAAACCAATCTGCCTTGGAATAAGTACAGCCAAAATGCTTCTTAGAAGTGAGGATGAGGAGACTTAGTCTCACATACTTTGGACATGTTGTCAGGAGGGATGTACATTGTACTTGGTTAAGCAGAGGGTCAGTAATAATGAGTAAAACCCTCAGTGAGGCAGGTTGGCACTGTGGCTGCAATAATGAGCTCAAAAAATGACAGCAATTGTGAGGAGATACAGTACTTGGCCATGTTTCTTTCTGTTGGCCATGTTCTTTCTGCATCACTA